CAAACCAGTTTCACTCCTGATTCTGACAAAACAAACCAGTTTCACTCTTGATTCTAACCAAACAAACCAGTTTCACTCCTGATTCTGACCCATCTAGTTTCACTTTTATCTCTGACCAAACTGGTCAGTTGACACATTTTACAATGTTTGATGAAGCTTTCACGCTCATCTGCTCACACAGACTCATGCTCGTGCTGCTGTTGGGTGTTTTGTTTTATACCATTAGTGCTTAGAGTATTTTAGTTTAATGTTTTTCTTACTTCATATCTTATTAGTGTTTTTCTTTTACATTTTACTGTTGGATGTAACTGGGACCCAGTGTACACAGTCTCGTTCCACCACGTGTGGTGCAAATGAAAAATAAAGAAACTTTCTGAGCCTTGGACTTCCATCTATATGGTGAAGGACTAATGTGGTTCGGCTCGTGATATGATGGTCCGTGATCAGCTGAGAACTTGTTGGTGGAACCAGCAGCGGTCCTCATTACCCCCGATGATCTGACCACAACAAGTAATGCTTACCATCTCTGAAGATGTAGACGTTGAAGCCGTCAAAGCTGGTTGGAGGTCTGGGGGGGAGCCAGCACAGCTCCAGCAGGATGGGGGGCAGTCTGGTGGGAAGCACAGGGGGGTCAGAGGGTTCACCCATGGCTGAGCCCAGGTCATTGGAGTCCTCGTACTCTGGAACCACTGCATTAACAAACTCCTCATCTCTGTCAGCAGGAGTTGTCTCAGTCGGGTCCAGCCAATAGCTCTGAGGCTCCGCCTCCTCAGTGTGGTCGCTATGGGAAGCCACGCCTTCTGTTGTGTTGACAGGCATGCGAGTGGTTGCCACCGCTACAGAGATGTTCGTTCCATTAGGCTGGGTCTCCTGCTGCTCCTCATCCATGATCAGGAGGTCCCGGGCCTGACGGGAGGACCGCCGGCGCCCCTCCACATTATGGAGCTCAGCTGCTGCCCTCTGGCTCAGGTGGATGATCTTATGGGAGACGTTGAGAGGGGGGTACGGAACTGTGGGAGAGAGGGGAGAGGGTGAGGAGCGGCCCACGAATCAGTCGTCCAGGACGCAAACCCAAAACAGCAGGTTCTAAAACACAAGCAGAACTTTTCATAACTTCATGTTGCTTTCATTGAAAGGTTGTACCTTTATCGTCTTTTTATTTATTTATGCTTCAACACTTTGATCAATATGAACAGGTTTAAATGTGACTAATAAATAAACTGAATATTAACAGAAAATAATAAATGAACTGAATATTAACAGAAAATAATAAATAAACTGAATATTAACAGAA